GACAGATACTTCATTGTGTCCCTTTTGAGCCCTCATCTTTCTGGTGGAGAAATCCTGGTCCTTTAATCCCCATCCCTCTGGTAGCTGTACCCACGCTCTCAGCAATTTGGGTTTCCTTTCGCTGGACCTTTCTGAGCTCTGCTCTGACTTCCTTGAGCAGCAGTGACCAGAACTGATCCACCAAGCTTACACACACACACACACACACACACACACACACACACACACGGAGGACAACCCAAGCCAGAATTTCAATGAAGGGATTATGGGAAGCAAAAGAAAATTGGAAGTTAACATGAGGAAAAATCACAGAGAAACAAGCACTGTGCTAAAAAAATGACATTATGTTAGAAAGGATGAAAGTTAGATTTATCATAACAGTGGACAGTGAAGTGGGGAGAAAAACAAAATTTTACAAAGGATTAGTTCTACTACTTTCAAGCTCTAAATTGCCAAGGGTGCCCACCACATGTAGAATAAAATCAGGCTCACCACCTTGACCCGGGAGCTGGCTCCTGTCCATCTCTCCCACTTCATCTCCATCTGCTCCCGCCATGCTTACTCAGTTCCAGCCCTACTGGCCTTCTTGCTGCTCTTGGGCACACTACCCCATCGTGACCCCCAGGTCTCTGTCTGGTGCCCCAGATCTTACATGGCTTGCTTCTGCACATCATTCAGCTCTCTGATCAAATGCCACCTTCTCAGAGAGGCCCACCCTCCCTTGCCAATGGCCTCCCCTCCATTCTCCATCTCGACTGCTCTGTGTTGTCCTCCTCTGAACCTAAACTATATAGCTGTTTACCTTTCTCACCATGTCCCTCCTTAGAATAGAAGCTCTGCAAGGGAGAAGACTTTTGAAATGACATCTGCCAAATCCTGTTCACGCCCTGATTAGGACCTGACAGTGAGTGGTGTCAGTAATCAGGGGCGGGAATGAATGATGTGCACTTGCTAAGAGTGGAAGTTCTGGAGCCAACTTGTCTGCTCAGACTTCACCTCTGCCTTCTGTGTGCCCTTGGTCAGGTCATTCTCTGTACACAATCTCCTTATGTGTAAGATGAGGACAATAATGGCACCCACTTGGGGGTATCTTGGAAACCAAGTGAAGCAATGCATGAAAGGTGCTTAGAACTATGTTAAAAATATTACAAGTTTAGATCCCAAAGGTTATTTATTTCACTTCCCACAAGCAGAACAAGAATAGGCACAGGTAATTAAGCATGTTTATTCTTGATCTTGAGCATACACAGTCAGTAATGGTCATAACTACTTGTGAAAGTTTTAGCTTTTGGTTAGTTAAGAATAGGACCTTGTATGTATGACATGTCAAAATACATTCTACTGCCATGTATAACTAAAAAGAACAACAACAAGAAGAGAATAGGATTTTTTTTTTAAGAACAAAGAATAGCCTTTGATGCGTACAAAGATTAGTTTCCTGGTTAATGCAAACCTAGTTTAATAAATGCAAATCAAGTGGAAACATGCATTCTTAAGAATTAGGGTTATGTTCTGGGGTCCAACAGAACCAGTGGTGCTGATAATAAGTAAGTGACAGGCAAATGAGGGCAGATGGGGTCTGGACAGACAATTTGGAAAAATAAAACCAGTCCTGGAGGGGATATTGGAAAAAGTACACTCAGGCATGGTTTGTAGGCTGAAAATTGGTGCAACCACTTTGGGAAGCAGTATGGACATTCCTCAAAAGACTAGTAATGGAACAACCATATGACCCAGCTATCCCACTCTTTTGTATTTATCCAAAAGAACTGAAATCAGCATGCTCTAGTGATGCATGCATACCAATGTTTTCAGAAACACAATTCAGCTAAGTTCTGGAACCAGCCCAGGTGCCTGTCAACAGAGGATTGGATAAGGAAAATGTAGTATATATACACAATGGAGTTTTCACTCAACCATAAATTAGAATAAAATTGTGTATGTCATTTTCTGATAAATGGGTGGAACTGGAGAACATCATGCTAAGTGAAATAAAAAAAAAGTCAAGGATCAAATGTTCCCTCTCATATGCAGAAGCTAGAGAGAAATGGAAGTAAAAAAAATTAAAAAAGAGAGAGGATCCTATGAAAACAGAAAGGAGAAGAGTGGAGTAGAAGAGAGGGATTGAGGGGAAGAAAGGTGAGGTGGGAGAGGGAACTGTGGAATGACATTGACCAAATTATGCTACATGCACACATGAATATATCACAGTGAATTCTACTTTTATGTGTATCTATAAAGCACCAATAAAAAAACAATAAATAAATGGAAGAAAGAGCAATAGAGTAGATGAAGGGAATCATGGGGAGACAAGAGGGGAGGGAAAAGTGGAAGTACTAATGATTGAAATGGAGCAAACTACACACACACACACACACACACACACACACACACAAAACTAGTAATATGACTAGTATATGCTTATCCACTGGGATAACTGAGTCACATGGTGGTTCCATTACTAGTCTTTTGAAGAACATCTATACTTCTTTTCAAAGTGGTTGTACCAACCATGCCGCAAAAGTACCTTTTTCCAATATCCTCTCCAGGACTGATTTTTGTTTGTTTGTTTGTTTTCCCAAATTGCCTGTTCAGACCCCATATACTCTCATTTTCCTGTCATCCATATATGTATAATGCACTAATAAAAATATTCAAAACCAACTCTGTCCAGGTTGATTGACAGCTGCATAAATACCGTTGTTTGTTACTTTGGGTATGAGCCCACCCTTTCCTGTACTTGACACCGACCAGTTATCCCCACATGTGGACAAAACCTCTTTCTGAAACCTAATGACCTTGGCAGTGACACATTATGGTGAACACGGACACACAGAAGCTGCTTCCTAAAAGCAAAGTTGTTTGTAAGCAGCAGCAGTTTAGTGGAAATCTGGTAAATTATAATATCAGTTACTTCACATTGAGATAGTTCACTGTGTCCTTTGCCAGGGGCTCCAAGTGAGGAACGTCTTTTAAAACATAGTGACCTGTGAAGTTTGGTACCACTAGAAGAGGCAGTATGATTTTTTTCCCTTCTAATGATGAGAGTTTAGTATGTTGCTGATAATTTCTTTTCTGCCCTCTTTGGCTACCAGAAAGCTCACTTACAGATCCATGACAGCAAGGATATTGACCCTTCAATTTGCTTATTCCTGGTTCTCCTTACCCTCTCTGGGTTTGGTTTTCTTCATTAATCTTTCATCATCATTATTATTATCTGAATTCTAAAATTCCTTATAAATATGTTACTGTTACTTAGTTATATGTAGTGGTATAAATTCTCTCAAATCTTTTATGAAATGAAATGGATTTAGCTTAATTAAATTGGGTAGTTTTCATAAACATAATTTCCCCTGATTGTTGTTATAGTCTGGAGAGGTGGGCATTGTTATCATTCACATTGTGCAGACAGGGAAACTGAGACTCAAACTGTAAAAAATTTGTCTAAGATGCAAATAACCCATAGTTTTCACAGTTCTAGATTCTATTGCTCTATTTCTCTAACAACAATAACGATAAAAGAATACCTTTCAATGCTGAAATATCTTCAGAGAAGAGTTATTACTGAATTAACAATGGTGAACTTTGTTTTTAAAGCATCACATGAATGAACTAAAATAAAATACTTCCAATTGTAAAAGGATGGTGTTAGGCTAGCAGGAAATTTTTACCAATAATTATATGTGATTGCAAAGTTTGAGGCACTTAGAGAAAAACAAAAAATTTTCTTATTCTTTTAAAGAAAAAGGTGTATGAGAAGAACAAGATTTAGATGAAAGTTTTGCTTGAAGGCAGGGGAATAGATTATTTGACCTGTACAAGATGAAAATGTTTTTCAAAATTCAGCCACTACCGGACCTTACTTGCTGCCAGGCCTGGAGATGGGCTTTGATCTCCTTCCTAAGGTCACCAGACTGGCCCTAATCCCAGTGCTTTGGGCACCCCTGCTGGGCTCAGCCCTGCAGTTAGTTGTGTATCCTGGGCAATGAGATCTGAAAACAGCACAGCCTGGCCTTGTAACACAGGAGACAACAAAGTCCAAGCACTTGAGAGTCAGGTTCAGGGCAACTTATTTTCTCAGCCTTTTCTGTAGTGCACAGGCTCCTTCCTTCTTTCTACCCGTGTGAACCAGGAAAGCAGCTTCCTGCTCATAAACACCAAGGAGCGGTGCCTCATTAGCTGTATTGTGGGGAAAAACACCATGAAAACAAAGCAAGGTAGCTTGTCCTCAAATTCACATATGATCATAATGTGATTCATTAGCAACATCATGTATTGACAACATTATCCCAACAACATCTGCTTACTTCCAATTGCAGCAAAAGGTATAACATTTCCACACATTTGTTCGTCTGTTTTAAGCATCCAGGTAAATATGGCTAATGCAGCACTGACATTATCAGTTTCAAATCCAGAGTCTGGAGAATAACTTTTCTCTACTCGAGGGAATAGCACATCGTTCTGAACAATTTTCTGAAAGGATGTTTAGGTCTCTGTGGATAATAATCATTGCTCAGTTAAGTCAGGAATGGATCACCTAGATAGTTTTGCAGGCTCCTGCCTGTTTCAGTATTTCTGTAACTTATACCTGATTAATGAGAAGCCATGTGGGAGGAACAGGTCTATTTGTTGTGTGCTCAACATGAACTGGATAGGTTTTGAGTAAATTCACTGAGATCACTTAGCTAGCAAGTTGCTGGGCAGGGATTTGAATCATAAGGTGCCTCATTTTAAGGGCCATGGCCTAGTGGTACCAAACTTCACAGGCTTCCTGCTGCCACAGAGAGGCTGTAAGTTCATGCTAGTGCTGAGCCTTGGCATGCTAAAAATGGTTAACATCCTGAATTCCTGTGCATTCTATTGTCTTCGATTTGTTTTATCCACAGAGGTAGACCTGTTTAGAATGAGCCTCTTGGTTCTATGTTGGACAAACCTGGAACAGTCCATGAAACAGAACATCTCGTATTTGAAAATACTATACATTGGCTTGTTTTACTTGCCTGATATGAAGAGGGCTCCTCCTTCAGATTTTCATCCAGGTCCACACCAACTCTGTTAAAGAAAGCAGAAAACTGGTAAATACCCTGCTACAGAAAGCACAAGATCACCTTGTGCGTAAGATCACCTGACCCAAACATGTTGCAAATCTAAAAAAAGACTTGGCAGAAAACCATCCTGCCTTCCCTCCATCAGAAGACCCTCAAATAGATTGATGTCAAATGAGAATGTGCAAAGCTGGGCCTCAGCACAGCTGGAGAGACTGAGCATCAACGGCAATTTCTTGTTCCTGTCCTTCCCAACAAGAACAGAGACCCTGAGAGCCTGGGATGGGAGCCATTGGAACAAAAGACCTCGATAGCTCTGAAACAGGGATCCAGGAGGGGAGGCAACATGGTACCACAATAGAACCCACTGAAAAAACTCTCCTGGGACTGTAGGTGCCCCATCTAGAGCAGGGTTCCTAAGACAGAAAATCGTATCTTTGTCCAGATGTTCAGTGAAGCTTCCCATAGGGAGGATCCAGGTTGTGGGGGCTGAGGCTTATACAAATTGGGGGGCTTTCTTCAAGGAAAGGAATACAAAAATACAAATACAAATTGGAAACAAAAGGGCCTTTTAAGAAAGAGAAAATAAATTACTGAAAAACTACACATTTAAAAAAAAGCTGGTAAATGAAATAGGCATCTCAAAATTCAGAAAAAGCACACACATAATGTTTTAATGAATGGTTTGACACACCTGTAAAGTAATCCCTCTGTAATATTTGCTTCTATACTTTGATACTTTCTTCACATGATAACGATTTTATGTTAGGGCGAATAGAAAGAAAAAGTATCCCTTCCTCTTGCAATATGGATCAAAATTATTGATAGCGGGGAGACGTTAGAGCTTGCTTCCTCACCCTTAGGCACGCTTGCAGTGTGCATCGCTGTTAGGGTAATGCTCTAAAGTGTGAGATTTCTGATCAATTTCATTTCGTGCACTTTCCATAAACAACCTGCAGCACACTTATCCCTCCACATCTCCCTTATTGAATGCATTTCTGGATTTTCATTTTGACAGGGCATCAATGAGAACTGAATTTTACACATCTTGGAAGAATTCTCTGTCGCCTCTTCTGGCTCAGTGCATTTCTAACCTTGTTTTTCCTCCACTGCCTACAGACTTCTGATGCCAGGTGCCAAAGGACACATTCATATTTAATCCAGTTTTTGTGCACTATTTCTATAAACGTTTCCTACTCTGGGATGGCCAACAGTGACTTATAGAAGGCCCATATAAATGTGTGCCATTCAATCCAAACAAAGTGCTCGGGGAGGCCATAATGGGAAGAAACAGCAGTTGAACTCCATGGTGTTTAAAATATATTCCTTTTGCAAATATTAAAAAAAATAGGACCCTGGGAATGAAGTCCTGGGTATCTTCCCAGGCCCCTGGAAGGACTAGAGCAAGAGAGGCCCCCTAAGCTTGAACTTCCTCTCCCCGGGAGAATGTGTCTCTGGGTGGGCGGAAGGCCCCAGCCGGGGAGTCAGGCTGCTTGGCTGAGGCTCCCACAGAGTTCTTCCTCTGAAGCCACTTTGCTAAACTTTAGTCTTTCCTTCAACCACTGTCCCTCAAGGAGATCTCAATCACCCTGGTCTGCTATCTGGGTGGGGAGGTAAAGGCAAGGTTGAAAGCCGCCACTCAGGCCCATGTGTGAACTCGAAGAGCCGTCTCCTCCTCCCTATCACCCTCGCCCTTTCAAAAGAGTGGGTTTCAACTAATTCATTTAAGAAGGGGAAATGGAAGGGACAGGGAGAAGGAAGGGAGAGGCTGTCAGGGAGGAGGGTTAGAAGGAAGGGGGTGAGAGAGGGCCAGGAGATTTGGAAGGGGAAGGAGAGAGTGGAAGGGCGTGAGGATGAGGCCTTCCAGGAGAGTCGAGTCCAGGTAGTGGCCATGGGGTCTGAGTGGTCTTAGTCCAAGAGTGGGGCCCATGTGTGGAGACTACTGGCCACCCTCCCTCATAGGACTGAACGGCCCTCAGGCTTGTCTGGAGATCTGGGCTCTCCAGCAGGTGCAGACAGTGGCCTCTGAAGCCCTCTCTATTACTGGAATAGGCCAGGTCTGCCCCTTCCAAGAGCTACCTGGCACTCAGGCTGTGAATTGAACTGAGAGTCCCGAAGCTCCTCCTGCTGCACCTGTTCAGGGCCTGTCTGTCTGGAAAACTGGAGAGAACAGAAATCAAATTTCATAAGAAACCCCAATTAAAGTCTGAGGCAGTACCGAGGTTTTTCCACTAAAATGTAAGCTTTCCTCCTCAGTAGCCATCAAAGCAGACATTTCTAGTTCCCATTATCTCAGCAGCCAGATGGAACCAAGGCTTGATGGCGGCAGATTAAGTTCTTGGGCTTCCTGTGTGTGAAGCATCCCGGAGGCCTGGCTGGGAACAAGCTCTAGTGTCCTCCCTCAGTCCACTTTCTGGCAGCCCAGGGCCTGTGTCGGGCCAGTCCTGTGGCTCCTCTTGGCCTAGCACAGAATGGACCCACATCTCAAGTGGTTTGAGGCAAGGGAAGCTCTGTGAAAATCACTTGCCTCGTGGGGCAGCCAGGGTGAGCAAAACAGACATGGTCCCAGCCCTCACACGCCTACAGGTTGTGAGTTTTAATGAGCATGTTATAAAAAAAAAATTATTATAGTTTAAGTGCTGCGAGGGAAAGGCACACGAGAACCCTGCCTTCTTTCACTTGAGTTTTGGCTCCTCTTGATAAAAATCTTGCTAAAATATATGGCTTGGCTCCCTGCCTCCTTAAACACAGTGCAATGGGGTGCTCTCATCTTAACCGGAGGTCTCAGCATGGCCATTGGTCCCATAAAGTCTAACATGCGCTGCATTGTAATGATTTCTGAAAGGTGTTTGAACCTCTTTATGACTGCATTAAATGATCCCTGGCTACTATTATTTTTCTTTTTTTTAAAATTCTTATATTTGCCTTGGGTTAGTTAGATTGTCTTGGGTTTTCTAGCTGCAACGATATGTTAGCATATTGTTCCTATGCCCCCCCCCACCTCATGCCACTATTTCCTTTTAATTGAGCGTGGGACTAATAATGTAACAGTCAAATTTAATACATTTTTTTTTTTAGATACACACACACACATATAACACAAAAGAATAGAATTCAATCATTGCAGAAGGGCTTATAAAACACAGTGTTCTTTGCTTCACACCTGGACACCCCTGTTGCCTCCAAGGGCTATTTCCTGCCTTTTCTTGGTTACGAAATGTAATGGCTGATATTGACACGTCTGGCACATTCGCAAGGCATCCCCGGGGTTATGCAAACATGCCGGCAGCATCTCTCTCTCTCTTACTCAATGGTTCAAGCAAGCAAGTCAGAGTGTGAAAGAGACCTATTTTAGGGTCACCTTGCATCCACTCATTTTTATGTGTAAAAGATCACTTACACACTATGGGTTTTTGAGAGATTATTAGAAGGAAGACAGGTTGTGATGCAGCTTGTGATGCCACATGTCTATGTGTCACCACCCCAGCTGAGGTCACGGGTGTATGCGATGAAGTCTTCCCTGCTCAGTGATATCCCAGTAGTCCCTTCTCCCTCACTGTCAAGCAACCTTCTGTCCATCTGTTCTGGATACAGTGTCCCAGGCCTGGTAATTGGACTTGTCCTTCTTTCTGAGCCCAGTACTCAATACTGTCCCTGAGCTCTGGATCTGCCAGTGCCTCTCCAAGGTCTGAGCTCCTTCCTTCCAAACTTATTATTTTTCTTATTGTCAGTGGTGCCAGAGCTCAGTCCTTCCATGCTCATTGCTTTGTTAATTTCTGAGATAAACCCTCCTTGTCCTGGGTCCTGCACTCAGTGGCCCTTATGTTTATAACAACAGCCACCAGTGAGCCATAGGGAGTGTCCAGTGCACAGTGGGGATTTCTGCTCTCAAAGTAAAACATGCCTATCAAAAAAGGGCCAGGCTTCCCAGATTGGGACTTATTTATGACCTATTAATAAGTTAATGGGATGAGAAGACAGTAAGAACAGAAAGGAAGATATCTAAAGGGCGAAGGGAAGGAAAGAAGAAGATGGAGCTGAGCAGGAAGAAAGCAGAAGGATAGGAGGCAAAAAGGACATGTGAAAAAGAAAAAGGAAGGATTACATCATAGTTTACTATAGGTGCTCCTAGCTGGGTGCAGTGGTGCATGCCTGTAATCTCAGGGGAAAATCTCAGGGCTAACCAGTATTCTTCATTCTATGCCAGCGCCCCTTCCTCAGTCTTAGATTCCCCAATCACTTGAAATTTTCAGGCTCTTGGCCCAAGATCAGCCTCAGCAACTTAGTGAGGCCCTAAGCAACTCAGTGAGACCCTGTCTCTAAATAAAATACAAAAAAAGGCTGGGGATGTGGCTCAGTGGTTAAGCACTCCTGGGTTCAATCCCATGTACCAAAACAAAACAAAAACAAACAAAACTAGTAAAGGATTATAAAGCAACTAAAAAGCCTGGTTAAAATTTGATATGATGTTTTGCATTCTTGATGCACCTTTTAATTTTAAGCAAGTACAGTGCTGCCTCTGTGGCATTCAAATGGAAATAAAAACGGTGTCCCCAGCTGTGCCCAGGAACATCTCGCTCCGGGTTCCTCATTTTCAGTGAGCATCCAGCTCCATTTTTGGAGTAAAACACATCTCTGGTGCACCATACCACACCTCCCTTCCTATTGTGCTTCCATTCTTTAGTGAATTTTATTAGATATATTAAAATCGCAGGATGCTCCCATGCCCAACCATGGGCAAAAAGAATGCTCTGGAGTTGAGATTTTTCTTGAAGGGAAAGCAAAGTAAGTAACACAAAAGGCTCACTTTTCCCATTAAAGTCCACAGCATCCATTCTGATTCTTATCACTTTGCACCTCCGGAAAAGCAGTGAAATATTACTAGGGCTTAGTTTCATTGTGTGAATTCCAATAGTCTTAGGTGCGGTTTTGATTCTTTTGAGCCCCCTGCTGACAGGGGATGGGTAGTGGGGGAGGAGAAATCATTTCCTCTAAGAACTGTATTTG